CTTAACGACAGAGTTAATTCTGTAAATGTAACTTGATGTTAAAATCAAGGACAGAAAGGAGCAAATGAATGAAGGTTTGATGATGTGTTCAGCAGCTCCCGTCTGTCACATGACCCACTTCGCGTCTCCAACTCTCACTATAAATTCCATCCAAATGACTTCTAACACTAATCTTTACCCAAAACATCTTCAACCAAAACATCCAACAAGAACAAGAACTCTGAGGATTTGTCTTCATCCACTGACACTCACTTCCCCTCGAGCACAAAAACCACAGACAGACCACCAGAAACACTGCAAACTAGGTGAACAACAACATCATGTAAGACTCCACACATTTAAAGCTGCCTTGAACCAATGTATCACCGAGCTGAGACAGCGGCTTAGCGATTAGGCCGCTAGCATTAACATTAAAAAGTACTAGTGAACCAGTGTAGACACACATGAACGAGTATATTGTATGGGTTTATATATATATATATATATATATATGAGGATGAACAGTTTTTAAATTTACATCATCTCTACATTGGCTGCCATTTTGGCCTACCATGGTGATGACTCAAAAAAGGACATCTTGTGTTTATATGTTAAACAAAACCTCAAATAGTTAAACAGAAAATGCCAAAAAAAAAAAAGAAAAAATCAACTATAACATGCAACTTCCACTAGCTGGTGCTAAATTCACCAAATAAAGTGAGACAAAAAAAGTGGAACCACTGGGCATAAGTGGTTCTGGAGTCGTGTGTTAGTCTTAAACACGACTCTAACTAGCCTACTAAGTCTTTGTTGATGCTTGTTCCCAGTAAACTTCACGATGAAAGAATTAAGCAACATGTTCTGTTTCCTTTTTGTTCGTTAATTATTTTTGCTCTCTGTTCGTCCTGAAAGAAATGTTAATGAGCCTAAAGAATTTTGTTCTTGTATCAGGTCCAGAAAATTCAGCAAGGCTCGTTTACTTGTGCTCAAAAGCCTTAATTTGCATTTTGTTTTCACATTTTCTTCCTCACTCCCCTCCCACCCCCACCCCCCACCCCTCGCTCTCGCTGGCTTTAAATCCACTGATTGAGTGCAGTTGCTAATGGCTGTATTGTGAAGTTATAAAGTACAAAATGAATTCTCCTCAGTCTGTCTGAAACTTACTTTGATATGGGCTCCCAGCATGCATTGATGATTATAGAAGCCCTGCCCGTGAAATTGTCTCCATAATTGTCCCACAGCTCATGGTAAGTCAGATACTTCCCTAATAAACCAAACTAAGGAGACATAGAAGGCGCTCAGATAAGCTTA